AAAGGACCTCTAATCCCCCATTGGCCATAAAAACTAGTGATTTACGTTCATCCCCAGATGTCCGTACTTCTTGTTCCTGAGGGAGGAGTTTCTTCAGAAACATTCATGTGCACAGGAAATGACTACTGGCATAATCGTTAAGCCCAATAATTAAGATTACTCTCCAGTTTCTAACTGAAAAGCTCTGACAGCTAACTGGTATGGTACAATGAAAGGTCGCGCAGTGTGGTGGGTTGCACTGAGCCGTTTCTCTTTCCAGCTGAAACTGCAGCTTGAGTAAACACAGGAGGGGAAACCTTCGAAGGCTCATGCAGTTAAGCTGGAATCCTTACTGTCCTCCTTTCCAACTGCACTGCCGTACCAGCGCTGCTCCGTTGATAGGAGGCTGACCTACAGGACTATAAGCAACAATAGTTGCTTATAGAGAAGCCCTGGTGAGCTGAGCGGTTCAAAACCACGAGTGGTTCCTTGGGAGACCACAGAGGCTTCCTCCTGCCGGCAAGGGTTAGTCTCAGAAACCCACAGGGGCGGTTGGTTCCACCCTGTCGAAGGTTCCTATGAGTTGGAATCGACTCGACGGCAATGTGAGTTTGAACTGTCTTTGAGTTGTTTAGTTAGACCACTGGCTAGCATTATGAATTTTAAACAATAGTACAGAGTAATTTGATATACATTTTTATGGTGTTGTTCTCGTGTTCCTTTTAAAGTTTGAAATCTCAGCTATTGGCTACTTTGAAAGTTACAACAGATAATAATAACTAATAAACCATAAAGTATGTACTAGGGAGAAAGTTAGCTGGGAAACTACAGCAATCACATCCACCAGCAAGGACCAAACAAAGAAGGAATTTGTGACCAGTTAGGATGGAATCTGCTGGTGCTGAGAGTCGAAAGTTCATAGCTTTTCAAAATGAATCGATAATTGATACGATTTGCAATAACCAATACAGTTAAGGATTTCTAGATCAAGCCATCCTCCCAAAAGCATTTGATATATAAATTTTGAACAGAGGTGCTCTAAGTTATCATTTCTTCTTCTTGCCATCTAAGAAGAGCAACCGTGTAACTTTATGTTGAACCAGTCAGCAACCGTCTTGTAATGATGCCGAAGACAACAGGTTTGATTTCCACCTTAGTTACATGCCGGCCACAGCAGAGATGCTCTCTACCTCGGCTCACTTCCTTGGGATGGTACCATGGTTAGTGGAGGCCTAAAGAAAAAGACCTCCAACAATATGATGGAAGGAAAGAGATGAAATCAGTTGCCAGGTGGATTCCGGCTCCTGGCAAGTCCCCCGTGTGTTACAGCAGGACCGCATTCCATAGGGCTTTCAAAGGCTGACCTTTCTGAAAGGGCTTGACCGCCAGCCCCACCTTTCTTCTGAGGAGTCTCTGTATGGGACTCACACCCCAAAACTCTTGGTTAGCAGCCAAGGGTGTTAGTGTTTGTCTCACTCAGGGACTCCTATATGGAATTAGCCCCCCCAAAAGAGCTTATTAAAGCCGGAATACTTTCTCTTTAATTGATAGTAACTGGTTAGTGGTTTTTATAAATATGAGGCCTACTGGGACAAAGAGAAAATTACTGAATAATTTAACCTAACAGTAATTTCAACTAAAATAATTTTTTTTTTCTGTGCATTTAAGACCAATCAACATTTTTTAAGCCTTTCCACAGGTTCTTCTAAGTTTAAATAAACAGGCTCTGGATGAGGAAGTTGCTGTATTAGGTAGTCTGCAATTAGGAAAGCTGAAGCCGCTGCGTCAAAAGAGCCTTATCAAAATGCAAATCCACACTTATTTCTTTACCAAGTGATGTGTAGAGCACTCCCCACCTCCCCCACCCCCAATACCCACTTCTGTTATAGGGACTTTTACTTTTCCGTTCATTCTTTATTTTTTAAAGCATGTGTGTGTGTATATGTGTGTGTATGTGTGCGCAAAACAAAAAAACAAACTTACTGCCATAAAGTTGATGTTGACTCATAGCAATCCTACAGAACCGGGGTAGAACTGCCCCTATACATTTCTGAAACTAACTCTTTACGGCAGTAGAAAGCCCTGTCTTTGCTTCTTCTCTCTGCCCTGACCCCCAGCAATCTCAGATGCCGAGCAGGTTCCACTTCCGGCTCTTGGTGGTAAAGAGATCCCTCTTACATACACTCCTTATAAAGCTTTACTGATATATAGTTGACCTACGATAACAGCCTACCCATGTTTTTGACTGAGAGTTGCAGACTAGAATTGCTCCATCATGTTTTCCAGGTTGCAGCCTTTCCAACGCAAATCACCAGACCTGGCTGCGGAGGGTCCACTGGATGGATGGGTTTGAACTGCCAATCTTTGGCTAACGATTTATGCTGTCCAGGGCCTCCTCCACCTATCCCTTGTTAATCAAGAAAAGAACCAACAGGCTAAGTATTTGGACTGCTGTCCAAGGTTCGCAGTTCAAGTCCATCAGCTGTTCTGTAGGAGAAAGATGAGGCAGTCTGTTTGCATAAAGATCTGCAGCCTTGGAAATCCTCGAAGAAACAGTTCTACTCCGTCCTACAGGGTTACTGCTACAACTGAGAATCGACTCAACAGGGCCGGGTCTGGGTTTAATTAGCACTGGCTTATTAGAATCGCTAAAAAGATTTCCTCCTTCCCCCAAATAATTATAAAGGAGTTTACAATGTCTATCACTGCTGCAGCTGACTTGACACATGAGCATTTCCCATGCACCTAGAGGCTAATACTGAGATCCAAATGCTATACCTCCCTGTCAGTCCTGTCAAGAACAAGATGGTGAAGACACGACCAAGCGGGTAACGATCTTCTAGAAAGATGTTCAAAGTACCTTCAGTGATAGTGAAAACCCACAGAGACAGATGCAAAGTTAACAAGCAGACTAATTTTCAAAGGAGTGCTTTATTTAATTTTGGGAATACTGTTTTTCTTGACCATGCAGCATTAATTAGAACAGCATGT